ATCGCGCATTTCAATCTCGGTACCACCTGCAGATTGGCGTATCCTCTTCCTAGGAGCTGCAACAGGGCTGCATGACGATGATTCTGAATTTGGACGCTTTACAACTGAATGTTTCACACTTTGGGAGGAAATACCTGCATAATAATGGGGTTAACGAGATGGCTGGGTTAGGAACTAATGCAAGTCTTGTGGCACATATGGTTCGGAAACTTTGATGTGGTGATCCTGGACTGTGATCATCCGGGTAAGACTCAGCGTTCACAAATTAAAGTAGTAAGTTTTGACGATTTCTCCCATAAGTAACAATGAGCATTGACAAATTTGACGAAGGGGGTCGTTGTATGGAAACATATTCGATTCAAGATTTCATTCGAAAAGCAATAAGGCCATCATTTTAACGATATAGCCGAGGGAATAATTTTTTGGAGAATTACACTTCTCTATATCTTTCCCGAGCTATTTGGTGCTTTATTCGTTTTCAGCATCAAATTCCCTGCAAGGAGGGACGCACGCACCGTGGTCTGCATTGAGTTTACTGATATATAACAGAGACAATAAGCCATCACTGTTGAGCGTAAGGGGGGCACGGCCCGATTTATTGACACATGAAGTAAGGTAGGTTATTATGACTTTCCGTTGAGAACACGTGCTTTGTCATTTTCAAAACCCATAAGATGACTGGTCCTAAGTAAATTTTATTTATTCGAACAACATATTTTAGAACAAGATGACTGGTCTAGTAAATTGTATTTATTCGAACAACAACGAAACCTACAAAAAAAAAAACAAAAACAACATCTTACCACTTCCTTCTTCAAAGTCAGAGGTGACAGGAATAGAAACCTAAATGGAGGAGGGAAAATTTACAATATTACGGGTGAGTATGAGGTGAATAGAAATGAGGAAATACAAAAAAATTACTAATTAATAAGAAAAAGGAAAAATAATTAAGAAAAAAGGCCGAGGCATAGAAAGCGACTTTAAAGCAACTAAAAAATAAAATTTGCAAGGCCCTGCATGTTCATTTACTGTTTCCTGTGGGCAGGATATTTCTTTACCTATTCGACATTCTTCAGTGTTTTTTTCTAGTGATTCGTCCTTAATAAGTTTCGTGCCGCCTTAAATGATCTCATTATCTTACTCGGAAAAAGGTTTACAACTCCTAGGAGAAGGAAACCTAGAAATAAAGAACTTGCTAAAATGGCTTCTTTTCATCTTAGTAAGTGGTCTGACAACAGGCAATGCACTTTGGAAGTAAGGTGAAATATTTTTGTTGAGAATTTGATTGTATTTTTACTTCCTAAGAGCGGTCGTAATTATTCCCATACAAACTAAAATTTTCGCCATGACTCTTATTTCGCAAGATGATCATCTCACAACTGGAGCTTGGGCTGCCTGTGGTTAAAGCATTGCTAATCCTTTTAATTCATTGTCATCTACTATAATAAGTTTGGCATCAATACTATATTAGCTCTGGGCTAAAAGTGCATTTAATTAGCAAATCCACAAACCGCAAGATGTCACTTACTTGAGACGCTAACACCATGATAATGTTGCACAAAAGTTCCTGATTTTGGTCGCAAAACTTCACTACTGGAACACTCTCACTTATTAGGCAAACTTCACCAGCTGTGTAATAAACTTCGTTTTCGTGGAATCTATTAAAAAAGAAATGAATTAAATGAGGTAAACCCAACGTACACCAGTCGAGTCTTCGTCTAGAATAGCACACGTTTTGAAATATTTTCAGCAATCGAAAATGACAGCAAATTTGACGAGAGGCCTACTGAATATTTAAAATCGAGCATTTGAAGACAATTAAGTCCAAACAAAACCAACATGTATACCTCTATGGCTCTATTGATTGATAAGAAACCTAGAAAAGCCATGGCGAAAAATGGTTAACTGACAATTGAACAATGTACAATTTTACAATGGAATGAATAAATCATTTCTATGTAAAACTAGCATGAACGTATTTAGAAGTATTCAATTGAATCATATGTGCTTGATGGGCCAAAAATAAATTATATTATATTATACCTCACAAATTGTAAGGCATTTTTCTGGTCTGTGCCCTGGGGTATGATTGCCTTGGAAAGAGATACCAAAATTTTCTCCTCTCCATAGACTGGTTTAGAAGAGCTGCCTTCGTCTTTGTAGGGCACGACACACTCTGATATTTGCCGTTTTACATCATAATACAGTCTTTGAGGGTAGCAAAAAAGTTTGAGTCCAAAATGATCACGAACACCGGTTTCACACAAGCACGTAAAAAATCGGGCATGCTGAGGCCTAGACCTACTGCAAAGTTTCCCTAAAAACTCTGTGAGGCCTGAAGTAGATTGTAAAAGTGATCTGATCAACTTGATTGGACGGAATCTGCCAAAAAAGAAAAGTAAAACCAAATACAGCTCAAGCAACCCAACAGAAATGATTATTAGCCATTGCACACTAATCTTGAGTCTACGTACTCGAGTAATCATTTTATTTATTGAATCTATATTGAACTAAAAGAAATACATGCATGTATGACTGTACATTAAAATACTGTTAAATTTCCTCTACGTCTTGCGTATTTTTTTTAAATAAAGCCGACAATAAATACTTACCCAGAGAAATGCCTAACTTTGAATTGCGCTTTCCCATTTAGAAGACGTGGCGGTTCATCCAATTGATCTGTAATGTCTTTCCAGTCATGTGGTTCAACTAGAGACTCACAGTGTAATATCCTCAGTTCACCAGGACATAACTCTGCTGGCTCTTGTTTTCCTCTACGGAGGGTAAGAGGAATCCTTATTGTTACAGGCGCGATGAGAGTAACATTTTGAGAGCTTGAAATGTAAAGAACTGGACCGACAAGTCCTCCCTCTCCTTTTAGCTCACTGCTTGGGAATTCTTGTACCTGGATTTGAAAGCAAAACAAGTTATGTTGGACATATTCAACTACTCCCAGCATAAAGTTCATTTGCTTTACATTGTGAAAAGTGAATTTCAGGATGAAATTTCAAAACTACCTAAAACTATAGTACACAATGTAAATGTCCTCTCAAAGTTTTATGTAGCAATATAAGCATTGTTATGAAAAAATGTATATATTGGACTTACCATAAAAAGTCTGATTGGTCAGGAGCACTCAATCAATATACAATTAAGTGTGAAGTTATCATTATAATAACCCGATATCTGCAGCAGATATTGCAGGTATCATGTCGATTTCAAGCTCTGCCTAGTTTCCAAGCCCTGACTGTCTGTGAAGTATTCTTAGACTTTTGTAAATTTAGAAAGAAGTGTCTTCCTTTGCAGTTTGTTTAAAAGATGTATAATAAAACAATAATTTAATTTAGTTTATTTTGCATGATATCATAACTCATCAAACCCTATGTCTGTGTTACCTTTGGCTCCCACGGATAACTCAGACCTTGGTTTTGCTAATTCATCATGATATCATGCTTAACTTTATCCACTAACTGCATTAATTGTAAACTAATACAAAGCGCAAAACCAATTTACCTGACAGGAATGATTTCAATTTGACATTTATGTCTAAGCAAAACAAAAACAAATGTTCTGTTGGTTGCTTAGAATGAGTTCTCCAAAACCTAGTTTTTAAAAAGGGAATTGCCAGGATCCATGACTACATTTGGGGACAGTAATACCACAAATAATTTGAAGTTACCAAAACTAGTGATTAGAACATTACTACATGTATCTTCACAAACATGAAAGCACATGCACAACTGTCCTGTATTTACCTTAAAGTTGTTAATTTATATCTCTCTTTCCATCAATATTACCACCAAATTCATGGAATGTATGGCAAGTAACTGAGGGTATAGGCTATACTCTTGTAACACCTTTGTGTTATCTCCTTGCTTTAGACAATCCCCTCACGCCAATCTTACAACTTTGAAAACTGGAAAATGAAAATCTTGCAGAACTCATGCATGTATAGAATTTTAAAGTTCCATGTACCTTGATTGTGACACAGAAATCTTGATTGACAGGAACACAACTCTGAGGAATTTGGACACTGACATCAGTAAATTTAGGCACAATACAGGTCAATTCCGGACCTACTGCAGTACCTCTTGAAAAGGTGAAAGACTTAGGACGCCAGATTGCAGCAAATGAAGAAACTGCTGATTTTGTACAAACAGCTTGTGCAAATGGGAAAAGCCAATGGGGAACTGTTGAAGTTTCTGCGTGAAAATAAAAATAATGGTTGAAATTGCTTCCTTCAGCCGTGTTTTGAAGTCTTCAAGTCTTTAATTCTTTTGCTTCAAAGAATTAATTCTGCAACAACATAATGATTAAGATAAATTTATATTATAATGATTAAAATGCATTGTAGACTTCTTGTAATATCTATGCCATAATTACGCGTACTGCTTGGATGCAACTACAGGTAAAATAAAAAAATAAAAATTCTGTTGGATTTTTAATGCTCATGAAGTGGCAAGAAGTGTATTTTGACATTATGAGTGTAGTTCGGAGGTCATGCATTGCAGAGATCAACATCAGTATCTGAATCAGTGCACACCTACTCCTCCCCTAAGCCAATAATAGTCAACTGCTAAGTTTAGGTTACAAGCTCGGGTTAATTTTGGGTTATGAGAGGGGAGGTGCACAATTGCTCAGATACTGACATTGGTAACAGTGAAAAAAGGGAGCCTGAGAATATAATTCAATAAGTTATTCACACTTGCATTTCATAACAACATAATGGTACCTGATTCATGCCAAGTATTCTCTGTCTTCAATTCCTTCCATTCATTGTTCTCTTGGTCAATCAGTTGCTTGATAACCACCTCATACCCCTCCAAATTTGGGGCACTGTGCAACAAAGCTACTGTAAATCTTGTTCCTTCAACACTTTCCTTGTACTCCAGATCTGGTGGGCCATCATGAGATACTTCAATAACACTGCTAACCAATATCTCATCATTAGCAATGGGTGGGGAGAGGATTCTGGGGCTCCACAGTAAGCATCTACATGTAAATGGCAAGGGATGTTGGATAGCCTCACTGCAAAGTTGGATAGAGGCACCCGCTTCCCTTATGTGCCATGTGTCTTCCTTACCTCCGATTTTTCCTCTGAAATACAAAGGAAAATTAATCACCCAGCATTTTCAGAGCATTTTTGTGCAAGTGGAGTAAGCAATGACAAGGGTATTAAAATTGCAAGTAAGAAACTTGCTCAGATAATGACATTTAACCTCAAAACTAAATCTAATAACTGTTCTAGACCTTTTTGGTTAATTTTTTTTCAGTCAGTTATTAAAGTTATTACTTTTTGCAATCCGCGAAACAGGCCATGTGAGCATAACACGTCACGCAATACACCACGCTGGGTTTGTCCAGTTGATTTTGATGATCGCAAGGCAATGTTGAGTTTGTCGCTCAAAACAGTTGTGCTTTGTGGTCCATAACAGCGTAAAATCATTAATTATGGAAACAAATTTGCAGAAAGGAGGGCTAGTTAAATGCGTAACTGTAAGAATTCTTTCAGAGTGTGCGCGTGTTGTTTTGTAAATAACACTGTAACGTATTTTAACTTGCTTGCGTGTCCTTTTAATAGGCCTTAGGTAAGAAGAGAGGTTCATCGGTATATTTCATAACATATGATCTCGTGGTAATTCTGAAAAACACAAACAGTTCCATCGTATTGACGTCATCTAATCCATTCATGATAAATATGCAGCGAAAAAGCATCGATCTCTCTCCAAAATGGATCTTTTTTGGACGTCGAAACAACCTTCGGCCATAAATTTCCTTACAACAACTTGCAATGTTTGCCCCGTGGCGATTCCAGAAATCATTGCGCAAACGCAAGCGACTCATTCGTTTCCACTTACTCGTGTATCTTTATCCTATCTGGATCTTGTTCCTGCTCACTTTCCAACTCTTCGCCGTCTTCTTGAATTGTTGGTTGTTGCACTTGCCCACTAGCCTCTGAAATCTCGCTGCCACTGCTACTATCGAGATCACCATCATCATCGGAAGGAATGTCAACTTCATTGTCATCGTCATCGTCCTCACTGGACAGCTGTTCAGCTTAAAATATAAGACAGTTTTCTGTTTTAAAAAGATTTCACCAATGAAAAGCAAATCCTACTTTTCAAATAACAGTAAATCTTTCTTCGCCCACGCCCCGTGGAATTACAAACTTTACAAAACATCAACCATGTTCATAAATAACGAAAGACACTCGTGTTTTCTCGGACATATTGGTAAAAAAACGCCTGAAAGTACGCTTTTTAAAAAAAACCTGGTTAATCACGGTTTTTAATAAGCGTACTTGAAGGCGTTTTTAACTAATGTTATCGAGAGAACGCGTGTGTCTTTCATTATTCAATATATGTTTGACTAATGGTCAAAGTTTTCCTTCATCAAATACCTTTTGCTTCTGTAGAAAGGAGTTCTTTCACACTTCCCATAAAGGTTCCGCTTTGTTTGGCTTCCTGGGTGAGCATTAAAACGCGAAAAAGTTCAGAGAATCGCCATTAATCCAAATCTAGGTAACGTAAAGGGCTAATAAAAAGCAAAATTTGTTGAGCCACTAAGGATAATGTAGCATGCTTGGGCAACTGAATGTAAGGACAACGCCTTTGGCAAGTCAGGGATACATTTTTTCCACAAGGAGACTAGCTGGGTAGATTTCGCTAGGTTGCTAAGTTCAAACAACTACTGGGTGGAAAACTAATGAAAGTTAACGATCGCAGTATCATACATACTAAACTGGCTAAAATCCGTTCATGTTGATGTCATACACTGATAGGTAAAAGAACTTTGTCATACCTTCAGCAAACTCTCATACTTCTGTTTCTTTTTCTCTTTCATCTGTGATGTAGCCATGTTTACAAGAGTTGTGAGCATGGCCATTCTGTCGTGCTCTGACATCTCTTCCTTATTTCTTTTCCACTTCTTTTCACAAAATCGAAAGGCTTCGTTACTGTACTTTTCTGCCTTACTTTTCTCGCGAAGCTGGTCACAGAGACCGCAGAGAGTTTCCAGAATTTTCTCTCTGTCGGTGTCTGGTAACTTTCTCGTGTCGGGTGAATTCCACGCGCCTTCATAAAACCATAGTGCTTCGTTTTGGTATCTCTTCTGTGTTTGCTGGTCGCCAAATTCACTAAGCTTTTTGGTTATTGAATCAATAACTTTCTTGTTGGTGAGAGAATATTCAAAACCTTGGAAGGCTCTTTCCTCGTCCCAGTCAGCGTAGGTAAAAGTCGAATGCTTCTTGTCGAAACTGATCTTTCCTCTTTCCTTTGAGAAGGATCTCTTCGTAGCTCTCAACGATTCTGACCATCACCTCGCTGTGGTTTCCTTGACCCAGAGACTTCTCAATCTTCCATGCTTCCTCATAAAACTTTTCCGCTTCGTCAAAGTCTTCCAAGCTTCGACAAATCTCCGCCATTTGGAAAGCGCTTCACGCAGTCCAAGGGTGCATTCCTAAAATTAAATTCCAGATCTCGTAACCTTTCTATGCAGGTTGTTAGGCGTCTTCAAAGTTTCTCAACCAACAGTACGCGTTTGCAATGTTTCGATTGTACAGCGCAGTGTTCACCATGCCTGGGATTTTTAGTTTCTTAGCGAGCTCTAAGGCCTCTTTGTGGTATTCGATTGCCTTTTCAAATTGTTTCTTTCCTTCATAAACCGTCCCGATCTGTCCTTTGAAGAAGGGCATGTCAAAATGTTTCATTGAGCCAGAGAGCTGTTGTCTCATATCGTATGCTCTCATGTAGTACTATTTTGCCTCGTCATGTTCTCCTAGCTTGTTCTGGCAGTTTCCAATTGCGTTTAAGCACCTTGAAGTGCTTGTGTGGCTTTGAAGTACATTTTCCATTATCTTCAGCGCCTTGTGCAAAATCCTCGGTGACTTTGCCATATTCCCTGCTCTGTAATACACTTCACCCTTAGTGTACAGGTAGGAACTCTTGGTCAACCTAAGGGAATCTGTGCTCTTAAGTTCCTTCTGTGCTTTGCTAAGCGACTCTTTTGCTCTCCTCGCGGCTGTCAATGCTCGCTGCCATCCTTCGAGATTAAGAACCACCAAAGTTTCTCGGCATCTTAGTTCTGCTCGAAGCAAGGAACCTAGAAAGACAACATGGGAAACAAGTTTTTCTCTCCCTATAAGTTTTATGCACATTTTTAACCGGATAGCGTTTTTATTTCTTGTTAGAGTGTCAATGATGGTAAACTTAAGGAATGTTGAAGGATAGTCTGAGCAGGGAAGCATCTTCAAACCTAGACCCAAGTGAGGAAGTTACCCTTTACAGGATAAAAAAATGATTCGTACATTGCGTCAAACGAGCATGTCGAGCTTCGTCAACAAAACTGAAAAAAAAAAAATACCGAATCTTAGTTCATACACCCTATATAACTTCATCGTGAATGATTCTTTGGGAGTTTAAACAGATTCAAACTAAGTAAGAAGGCTATAAGCTCCTTGCCGAGAAGGTCAGATTACACTCAGTAGCTTTGATCGTGTAGTCTGATCTTCCGGGTGAGCGAAGTAGAAGGACTGTTGTCGTCAGTGGTGACTGAAGTTTCAAAAGCCTGAACTAAAGTCATCACCAGAGTCAAGTAAATTATTGTTGTCAGTCGAGTTTAGTCAGTTTTATCTGTTAGTTTTTCCATCAGGTCGACAGCTAACTTACCCTACCGAAGTATCCAGAAAACTTTCTACGCAAACTAAGACTTTTCTTTCGTATGTAATAAAACTTTACCTTCCTTTCCATCGTCCCTGATCTTTTCGGTCCAGCAATTGAAAATGTTCTTTCTTGCTTTTTCGTCAAGCATGGCCTCGAAGAGATAGAAGATCATAACACTCTCATGGTGCTCTTTGGGGATAAGAAGATGGTCTGACTTGAAAGAAATATCCAAGGCAAGTTCAAAGTTTGGTTTGTTAAGATCAAAGTTATCGAAAGCATTGATGTAGTCTTTGTCCAAAAGTTTGGAAATCTCCACCATTTTGGACATGAAATACATGTGAAACCTGCCTTTTGCCTTCTCGTAAACTTTGACGAACATCTTTTGGTTATTGCCGATGCTTCTCAGAAATCTTCGCACCAAAGGGTGGATGTCATAGGTGAGCTCTTTCACGTCAGGGTCAACCATGAGCACTTCACTATTCCTGAGACCCTCTAGTGGTATAACAGCCTCTGAAGAGTCCACTCCAAGGACTTCGGCTGCTGATTCGACAGAGAAAGAGCGACAGAACAGTGACATCGAGATGGCAGAATCTTTTAACTGTTGACTCGGCAAGGAGAAAAACATTTTTCTTAAACAGCTTTCTTGCTCTTTATCAATGCCTTCCTTTTGAGAGTCGAATACGTCTCTCTCTCGTCTCTCCTCTGCTGATACTATTCCCGACTCTAGTGGCTTGACCGCCGGTGGCTGCTCAATCGTTTCCAGAATCCTGATGTCATCGGCTATTTGTTGCCTCAAGATTGCTGCCATCCCCTTAATGATGAGGGGATTCCCTTGGCACATCTGCAGCAGTTTCTCCATTTTATCCTCTCGAACGCTGCCAATTCTCTGATTTTGTAATAGAACACTTGATGAAGCTTTCTCTAAGGCCATAACTTCGTGATTCGCAATATTTGCCAACTTTGCGTGACGAAGTGTTGATCTTAATGTCAACAAAATCTTCAATTTTGATTTCCTCGGATAATACTTTGGACCTAGAAGTCCCTGCAGAAACGTCACAAAATTGGCATTGAGGGAGGTGGAAGCTTCATCATCTCCTCCTGAAAATTTATCGACGTTATCAAGGAGCAGTAATATGTCACTGTGTTGCTCTGCTTCCCTTAACTGTTGCATTAATTCAACCACTGGATTTGTTTCGAAGCTTATGATCGTTTTGTCTGGCGCTAAAGCGTTTAAAACGTGAAAATGAACGTCTTCCATCTCTGTGATTTCTCTAAAATCAGCCTTGAATTTCCTCCCTGGCCACTTTGAAACAGTTTCCATGGCCAATTTCGTCTTGCCTACTCCACTAATTCCATACAAAATTGACAACACACGAACTTCCCGTTGTCAACATTGCCATAACTTTCACTAGGTCACGTTCTCCGCCGGTCAAACCTGATTCTCTCTTTCCAGGATTGACCTCTTGTTGGCAGTCTTCCTTAAATTGTTGAATTTTTTCCTTTAGCGGCTTTTTCTCGGACGTTTTCGGGCTTAGAAACCCCTCCAACAAAGTCAGATTGTCCTCCGATAGAAGACCCTGCTGAGCGAATAATTGGAGGCATGAGTACAAATCTTGTTCTCCTTGATCCTCAAACTTGCCCCTAAAAATTTGTTTTTATGGACGATACGGTATGCCTTAGTTCCTCGGGGCTGATTTCATCGGACACTCTTCGAAGAAGCTCTTGGAAACGAGGAGAAATTTCTCCAGAAGCGGAGACTGTCTCGACAGACGCCATCTTTGTTTAGCGTCGGTTGAGGCAATGTCACACGGCACATGGCTGGCGTAATGTCTTCAAATTTATGCAGGAGAATGATATGATTCGTGACTGACAAAAGCAATTTTATTTACGTCACCCAAGAATTTACCTTTAGTGACTGATCTCAGTTGTTATCATATAAAGCACCTCAGTTGAGAAGCCGTTGTTTTAAACTTTTCTGAACGGTTGAGTAGGAAAGTAGCTATGTTTATCACTAAGTAAAAGAGCACCTTTAATTAAAATAATTGATTTGATTTGCAGTTCTTAGAGCATGAAACCACTTATAATTAAACGCCCTTTGATAAGCTATTAATACGTCTTTCGCATCCTCCGTTCCACTAACACGATTTTTTAATCTTAGCAAAGTTGCTCTTCGGCTGTATTTCTGAAAGCGATTTCACCAAAAGTCACAACTTGATGACTGGTCTGCCGTTCAGCGAAGCGAATGCCGAGAGAGTCGGGATAAGGAACCAATCTTTCGGGCTCGTTCCACTCTGTGAGCGGGAGACCTGTCCTGAGGCTATTAGTTTTTTCAATTGAGTTTGATCTTATGTAAAGTTTCTGTGAATGATAGAGCAAAACTTCAGCAAAATAAGACGTTATACTGGGCACTAAAATGACAGCAATGGTGTTTACTAGGAACCATTAATTTGACGGGAAGTTTGCAACGTATTTTAGGTTGCGTGCCTCTGATTTTGTTTCTCGTTTCGAAGGCGAGCTATTTACATGCACCCCTTGTGGAGAAAAGTTCTTGGTACACTCTGGCTGCAGGATTGGGTTACGGCAAGGACTGTCAAAACAATTCGTATTTTTTTGCAGTTCGTTTCCTTGGGATTTTTGTCCTTGTTTGTGTATTTATTTACTTGTTTGTTTGTCTTAGCACATTAAATGTTTTTAATATTTGTTGAGACCAATTGTATCTTATACAATTTTGTCAATCGCTTTACGTTTTCTTCTTCAGTTACTGCCGCTTTTTAGATCGGTGGCGTATCCAGTGCAGTTCATTCTGTTCTACAGAACCAAAAACGATAGAGAAAACTAAAAACTGCACGTCCAAGAAGCGAAACAGTCGGTCGCGGATGAGAAATCAAGAGAGAAAAAGAAAAAGGAACCAGAACATGTATGCACAGTTACCTTGTGAATTCGAAGAAATTTATTTTTTCTCGACGGAAATGAATTGGCCCGCCTCTGATTGGTAGTTGTTAATGAAACTTTGCGTGCAAAAATAAAATTTAAGCTTTAAATCTAGATGCTTAAAGAAAAAAGCATGCGTAACTCATATTAAAGAAAATTTTTTATTAAGTCGAAGAAACTTCTCTCTCAAAGCATTTTCTTTAGCTCACTTTTGCGTTACAATTGATCAATAGAGTGTGAACTATCGTTAATGAACTTGCCCGCCTCTGTTAACTAATTGGCATTATAACAATGAAACGTGAGTGCCAAAATCAAATAAAAGCTTTACATTTACATGCCTAAAAAAAGTGTGCTTAACTCAGATTAAAGAAATTTTTTTCCGAAGTCGAAACTTTTTCTCTCAAAGTATTTATTTAGTTCACGTTTTCGTTACATCGGATGAATAGAGTGTGAACTGTCGTTAGTGATCTGTTCCGTTGCTAAATAATTTGTATAAAACGATTTTTTCTTACTCTCTCGCTTTCGCTCGGAATTCGCCTTTACCTATTTTATAGGCCACTGTTGTTTCTCTTTACGCACCTCCTAACCTGTTTTGCCACCACAAATGTCAACACCCCTGTCATCCAGAGCACCATCCCAACACCACTTCCGTCATCACTGTCACCACTACCACCGGTTCCACTTCCATCATCACTATCACCACTAGCGCCAGCTCTGTCGCCACTACCGCCAACATTGTCACCAGCACACAAGCTTAGTCCGTTCCGCTCCTTGCCACGCAACCTCTTCACGAAGACCCACCCTGATGGCCACTCAGAAATAGTCCCATGGCTTCAGTGTATTTCTGAATAACAAACAGCTTTGAACGAGCGGTTCGACGCGCTAATTGGAGTGCTTAGTGGTACAAACGAATCAGCCACCCCCCCTGTTGAAAGCCATGAGGTAGTGGATCAACAAGAACTTCCAGCATGCACTACATCTGATGAGTCAATGAACTCAACGCATTTAGAAGTGGAAACTCGTGATGATACCCTCATTTTATACGGTCGTGGTCGACATAGGGAAAAAAATTGCGGTTCATCTTGTACGCCATTTCTTATTGCCGCACGAATTGGATGGACAAAATGTTAGGGGGGTTGGAATTAAACTTCCGCTTGATCCACTTAAAATGGAAAGGATAAGAGAGATAATCTTTAGATTCAGTTTCCGTTAACGTTAACGCAACAAGAACAGGGATGATTGCCGTAAAGCTATAGACGGATACTTACGTAATAGAAAGATTGCCGAACAGGCACGCGTAAATTAACATATTGAAATACTTCTGTTTGTTTTCGAATTTTTTATCGTTAGCATTTTATTTTGTTTGATTTCATACAGTAGAGTAAGCTTGGTTATGTAAATGAAATATTTGGGTTGATGTCAAATTTTAGAGTCTGTTTTGAAAGATCTTGACATTACTGACAGACGCTTGCAAAATATGATAATGAACGGTAGTATGTCGAAGCGTTTTCGGTTTTTAGACGAATTTTCGTCTTTGACATTGCGATTTACCATGACTTGACCTATCATCATTAAAATTTGATGCGCTCCGCAATCAAGCAAAACATCACGAGCGATGCGAAATGAAACTGTCTACATTCCGGTATGTAAACACTGAAGCGGGCGCCGTTTGCAATGAATAAAACAGAACACCATTGTCATTCTTAAAAAGCACATTTTCTTTCTAATCCTCATGAAGATGATCGAGGTAGGTCTGAAGTTTCGAAGAAATCATCACCTGCGATATAAACACCACATTGTTCACATTCCGCAGCGTAAACGTGTTAGGGAGCGCTGATTGCAGTGAATAAATTGAGAAGGATATTAGTGAGTATATGTTTCGTTACTCGCTCAATGAAACTCGTGTTTCGATGCCTTGGGTACGTGAGTGACATTTTCCTTCCCAGCCGATTCATGGATAACTCAAATCAAGCAAATCTACTGCTACTGCTCGTTATTCAAAACATTTCGCGAAGAGTAACATGCGTGAGTGTAACATGATTGTTTTTTTTCATTATGTAAATTTTCCATTGTCTACTCGCCGCTTTTTCAAACCTTAAAGTCCTTTTTTTTCACACAACAACGAAATATATGGGAAAATTATAGCACCGAATAACAAAGGCACATGAATCACGCATTTTTTCGACCGTGAGCGCAAAAAAATCGTATATACGCGTCTAACTACCCTGCGTCTGAGCGTATGAAATTTGTCTGCGCAGTTAACGTCTACGCGATAGGTACGGTAGTAGGCTACAAGTGTTAGCTCAGTGAAACTTTTGGAAGCTTGGAGCCTAACTTGCCTGGGATCGAGGCTCGAAAAAGGCTCTGAATGGAAGTGCTTGCCGAAGCAAACTAGATTTGACTTGGACTGGAATATCAAACTGTAGAAGATTTGCAAACTTCGGCTGAACGGACAGCTGAACCACAGATCGAAGAAGGGCAACTAATCCCAGTGATAAAGGGATGTGTTTGAGAGTCACATGTAAAGATAGATCAATCGGATGAGTTTGGAAATATGAGCAAGGAGGAGTGCAGTCCTCCTAAACGACGTCGGATGTATCATGTTATCATCGGAACAGCTCAGGTCAGTACAAAGTGCAGACTGCAGACGGAGAATTTAATCTTTTTTTTTTTGTCTGATACGTCAACCTCACTGATTGTCACGCAATCGCTTTTCCGCCATTATCTTTCACGATCATTTGCACTATTGTGGAATATTCTTTTTGTATTATTTTGAGATTTATTTTCGTAGCGAAATTGAAGTGAGATCCTGGCAGTATTAAAGCTTAAATTCTTGCTGTTCCATAAGATACCGTTTTCGACGATGGACTTGAAGGTCTCAAGCAAGACCTCGGAATCTTGAACGAACTATCCCACAACGTATTGTTATCAGTGACTTATGATTTAGAGAATTCTTGAAAGATTTTCAATAATGTTTACAAATATTGTTTTTCGGGCCGTGAAAGAGAAGCTGCATCTCATATTTTTCTGAAGTATAATAAGAGTTTAAGGGTGCAGTGTAACTGTGCATGTAACTCACTACACGTCAAATAAGTAGACTAAGTGCTTTTCTCACATGCTGATTGGCCAGTTTGCATGTGATTAAAATACTATTTACCACTGTGGCGAGAAGCAAAATAGCCTCCTACTTCTCTGTGATGAAGAGGTAGATAAATTTTGATTATAGCATAGCAAAGTGACAACTAAGTTTGGTTTGATTGCATTTCAGCAGATACTGTCCAGAGCCATGGAGGAGGTAAGTTAGTTAGTTACTTAGTTTTTCCATTCATTGCATATTTCCACCCTCTTAAGGCAAAATATCAAAGTTTCTGAATACTGTAATGAGCAATT